CAATATAATGTATGTCAAGTATACCTCAATACAAAAGGGGGCACTACCTGAAAATAAAGATGTATTTGAACTACTAAAATATCCCTTAAGAAAATATGAGTTGTTCCATATGTATATCACAAAAATATCTCTTGTAAATGTGACCAGTACTATAAGACATGAAGGGATTTAAGAGAACTGAGATAGGTCTGTCGCCTTGAAAGATTATTATTTAAAAGAACTGTTGATATTGATAAGATAAGAAATGGACCAGCTTCTTGAAAATATCCAGAATGTCTGTGACATGTTCCTTTGAGGACAGACTTCAAGGGCAGGATGTGGCCCAGGTGGGCAGGGCAGAAGGAGTCGGCTTGGGGTGTGTTAGAAGTAAACCAACGATTTGACACTGAAGTCAACCACACTTTACTTTGAATTTCAGCACCTCCTCCAATTTCCTGTTCTGCCTTTGGCAAACTGACCAACCTCTCTGAGTTCCAATTCCCTCAACTATAAAAAGATTGTTGATCTTCATCCTGAAGGGTTGTTAGGAAGAAGAAATTTAATGTAGGTGCCTGTTTAACACATGATAGGGGTTAAATGTCCTCCTTGGGGCCCCTTTTAGAGCTACACCCCACGAACATCTATGATAACCAGCAGAAAGGAGGGGAAGCAAAATTGACTCGCATTTATCCGCACACAAGGTACAAGATGTTCACAAGCTGGAAAACTGAGTGCATTTCCCTCTATTCATAACTCAAATGATCTCACTGTCTGATATTAGCTCAGACTCCTTCCCAATGCCACCTCAGCTCTTCCCTCTCTCTTCCTAACAAGAATATCAAAACCGTAGTCTTTTTCCTCTTTATCATTTCTACATAATTCTTGTGTCTCCGAGTGTTTTGCCAACAAAGACATCCTCTTCTTCTTGACCTAAACTCATTCTTCCAATTCTCCTGCTTGATCATATCATTTCTGCTTATTCAATCCATAGCACACATGTTAGACAATCTCCCTATTTCTCACTATTTTTATAAAATATATTTTCCTGCAGATTGGTAAGACACACCACTAGGGACTCAATACAAGGATCAAAACTATAGTGCTTTGTAAACCATGACTTTGAAAAGCCTTAAGACTGTCTGACCTTGCATATACCAAATGGCATTTGTCTACTATCAATTAAAGGAAATTTTGATGAGTTATGACATGTGTTTACAAACGACAGAGCACTGAGCTTCCAGGGAGATACTTCAGTGGGAAGAGTCCAGAAGGAAGTTCCAAGGTTTCAATCTGAAACTCCACCTCCCCACCTCCACCCCACAGGTTTGCCGACACTTCCCATCCTATAAGCTCCTCTACCACAAGAGGTCATGCTTGCCTCTCTTTCACAGCATTCTACAAATCATTTTCTGCTTCTCTTCACCTGCATGTATATGGAACTGTTTAGCTAAGCTGGCACACTAACTTTCTTAGATGCGACAAACTCATGGCTTAATTAGACCATTCAGGCATTTGTTAACTCTGCCTTAGTCTTTTCCTCCTTGCATCTCTGGGCTCTTTGAAGTGCAGAATTCTGAGTTTTCAGGGATCTCAAGGATATTTCATTGATGGTTTCTTCCATCATGCCATGATAGACGGAACTATCCAGGAAGATCATCTCATAATACAGAGTGAGCACCTCTGTTGTTCAGAGGACCAAGTAATGAATTCAGGCAAGAGTAAATATTGAACCCACCATTCTATTTGGGAAGCTAATTTGGGGATTATGTGTTTATTATGAAAAGTGAAAATGGGATCTCTTTCAACTCCTTCCCAGTGAGATAGCTATGGCAGTGAAAGGAGTCAGTCTGTGTTCTAGAAACAGTAAGTGAGAATGCTGCTGGAAATCAATGTAGGGAAATTACTTTTTAGGAGCCACTCAATAGCTATAAGACCCTGAGTGTGTTTCTATGACTCAAAGTTTTCCTAACTCTGTAATGTGAAACATGAGAGAGCTCCAAAAGCACATGTATCTCTAAAAATCTCTTATTTGGGGCAGGGGGCACCTGGGTGGCTCAGTCAGCTCAGGGTCCGACTTCAGCTCAGGTTATGATCTCACAGTTTGCGAGTTCAAGCCCCACGTGGGGCTTTCTGCTGTCAGCACGGAGCTCCCTTCAGGTCTCTCTCTTCCATTCCCTCGGCCCCTCCCCTGCTCTCTCTCTAAAACATAAATAAACATTTAAAAAGTAAAAAAAAAACTATTTTAATTCATTACTTTATGATACATGCCAAATAACAGAATGGTTACCATATGCAGAAAAATTAAGAAAAGCTGTAAATGAATAATACCACTTTAATGATTTTTCTTTTTTTAATGTTTTATTTATTTCTGAGAGAGAGAGAGAGAGAGACAGCGTGAGCAGGGGACGGTCAGAGAGAGAGAAAGAGATACAGAATCTGAAACAGGCTCCAGGCTCTGGGCTGGCTGTCAGCACAGAGCCCAGTGCGGGGCTTGAACCCACGAAGCATGACCTGAGCCAAAGTCTGATGCTTAACCGAATAAGCCACCCAGGCACCCCATAATGACTTTTCATATTTTTTCTTGACCATTTATATTTTCTCTCTCTTTTTAAAAATATATTCTCTTATTGCTTTAGAATTGTATTCAGGCAGGCCTACACTATAAGGGAAAATGAGTATCACAGGATACCCTGGTTTCTATCTTCCTCTTTCCACTGATAAATTGCATTTCACCAAATGGAACATGAGAGAGTTGTCAAGGGCAGTAATAAAATCTTGGCAAATAAATAAATAAATAGATACAATAAAATCTTGGCCAGCCCATGTATTGCCCAACCCTCTCCCCGGCTTCTTCCTATATTCACCTGTTAGAGCTTCTGGTTTGCCCCTCAGAACCACCTTCCTCTCTGTCTTCCTCAGCTGATTAAGATCTTTCACATCGCTAATGGACTTTCTTCCCCAACATGTTTTGTTTCAGTTAGTTGAGAAATATCTAAGTGCTTCAAATTCGTTAAATAGATGTTTACGAATCAAAAAATCTTTTGTTCAGACTTTCAGTGCCTCTTTTCTCTGGTTTGATTAAAGCATCAGAACATGCCAATGATATTATTAGTTTGTGCTCTTACTAACCAGACCAGAAGTTTATTATCTTGCTAATCAGAGGAGGAGAATGACCAGTAAAAGCAGTTTCAGGAGAGCACAATAAAAAATTATTTGAAATTTAGAGAAAGGGTGGAGAGAGAGGGAGAGAGAGGGAGAAAGAGGTAGCGAGATGGAGATCAATAGAACGGAGAAAGAAACAGTAAGAAGTAAAATCTAACTCAGAGGCCACATCCTTCATAAATCCTAACCTTCCCAAGCAAAATTAACAGTCACTTCCTTGGGGCACCCCAGTGTCTTTTTCTTTTTTTCATCTTGCTAACTTAACACATAACATGTGGTAGACTAGTGGACCAACTATCTTCTACTGTCATGAGTACCTTGAAGCCAAGAATCATGTCACAGTTATCTTTGTAAAACCAATGCATGGTTACATTCAGGAAATAAATGCTGAATTGAAAATGGAACCTCCAACTGGCAGTGATGATTGGAGATTCCAAAAGCCACAAAATCAGGCCTGTCGCTGTGCCTTATGCTTATTGTTTTTGCTTACTCAGAGACTGGGAACGTTCCTTAAAGTTTACATTTTCTGGTACTGTTCACATACCTAATTTCTATGGTTCTTATCTCAACGTTCTATAAATCATCCCTTTACATAGAATTGTCAGTCAGTAAGATTTCATGAAGTCTCTATTTGTTGAATATTACATTAAAGGTGTCAAAGAAAGTGTAGCAGATATGATCCCCTCTTTAGGAAGCTCATAATTTAGGGAGTTTAAGGGTAGAATTCAAAACATCCATGAAATACACCTGTCAGCACTATGAACATGAAGAGTGTTCATTGTTTTTCTCTCTGTCTTTGATTTCCCAGGCTACGTAAAATCTTACTACTGTCCAAAAATTCCCTGAATTATCAATTCCCCAATCTCCACCTTGCTACTTTTTTATCCTCTACACATCCAAACATCTCCAAGCTCATCACTACTTTTTTTAAAAATGTGTGAAATTTAATAGTTGCCACAGACTTGAATCAAACTCCTGAAAGGATTTTTCAATGGGTAAAAATAAATCTCTGCTATAACAATAATCCTCACCCAGGACAGCTCAAAGGGTAATACTTACTCTAGCACCACAGTGGAGCAATGCTCATATGGGTACCACCATCACATGATACTCATTTTAGTATTATTTAGAAGTCAGAATTTAGTACTTTTCAGTATTTAATATTTAGCTGTGTCTAGACTCAATGACTGAGTAATACTAAATAGACTTGTTTAGGAAGTAAAGCTCGAATTCCCTAAGAATCCTATGAGATTTTTCAAAAAGCACATTTGCAAACTCTTCCTTTGTTCTTTTCCAAAGCCAGAGATAAAGATAGTTGTTTCAAGTCTTTGAACTCTGAGCTCACCTTCATCCAGTTGCCTATATTCCCATTTAATCATATTATCATATTCTTAAACCTATGTTTTTCTTTCTGTCTCTCCCTTCCTTCTTTCCTTCCCTTCCTCCTACCTCCGCCTTCCCTTTCCTTCTTTCCTTTTTTTCCTTTCTTTCCTTCCTCCCTCCCTTTCTTATTTAAAATTTTTTTTTTTTTGCTTTTTAAAAAAAATTGTTCTCTCCCACAGAGAAAGCAGGAGACACAGAATCCGAAGCTGACTCCAGGCTCTGAGCTCTCAGGACAGAGCCTGACACGGGGCTCGAACCCACAAACCATGAGATCATGACCTGAGTCAAAGTTGGATGCTCAACCGACTGAGCCACCCAGGTGCCCTGACTTTCTGATTTTTTTTTTTTTTTTTTTAACAAGGGGCAGGGACATATCTCTTAAGACCTTTGTTTACCACAGAAGAGGAGGCCATGGGGTTTCAGAGAGTAAGGAAAAATCCATACTCTTACCCTCACAGCTATGCGGAGACACTTACATTGAAATCGTACAACACACCAAAGTTTGCCGCAGATGCCTCTTCAGCTCTGGGAACTGTTTTCCTAGGTAAACTGCCATATGGTAAACCCCAGAGGTACTATATGGAGAAGCGAAGAAAGCAGTTAATAATTGGAAACAAAGTCTGAGCCACACATGTGATCACAAATGGTTTTGTTTAAAAGCACTTCTTAAACTTTTTCATGGGGACTCTGTGGGTCTCCATGTGGGGTCCCCTTTTCTGGGAATTGACTACTAAATCCAGAGTCAAGAACAAAGGGAGTTCTAGGGACCCTGCATTCTAAGCTCAGCGGGCCACCAGCAGTTGGGCCAACCACATTGCCCGGAAGGCTCGCTGAGAAGCCCCACTACCCACCACCACCTCCAAACTGGTCTCCTTTAGGGGAGGTCTGGAGAGGAGACAAGAGACCTTTGGGGGAACTATAGTGTTCAAACAAACCATACTACCCACATCTTCATAGGGGGCTGCTTCTTAGGGTCGGGGGTGGTGGGGGATTCTCTCTTTCATGTTAAGAAAGAGAGAGAAGAGTCATGTGAATCACTTATACAATTTGAGGGTGTCAATGGGAGGAAAGATGGTACCCTGATTATATTTACTTTACCACTAATTCAGCTCTGCTGCCCTGATCTTATGCTACGAGATTCAAAGAGGAATTATTAGGGGCTGAGCCAGCCAGCAAGGGGGAAGGAATAGGGTCTTGGCAGATGGCTTGGTGAGAACTGGTAAAAGTACCCCTCTCGCTCCAGGGCAGGCACAAGACCCGCCAAGCAGATGCTGATTCTTCTCTGGTATGAAAACTTCTTCCCCGGGGCTGGGGGTGGAGGATGGATGTGACTGGAAGCCTCAGTGTGGGGCTTGCTGGAATTCAGCCCCGACTCCTCCCTTCCACATAGGCTGCACACCTTCCGTGGAAGCTTCTTAGCTTCCTAGGACTGAACAGAGCAGAAGGTGGGTCCTATCCTGTCCCACTCTAAAGTTGGGGGCCACAAAGAACAAAGAAGATTAAGGTCTCAGGCTTGGTCTTTTGGGCAAAATGATATTTGCATCAAAAGAAAACTGAGTGAGTCTATGGGCTGCAGGCAGCTGAAAAATGGAGCCGGGTTGTCAGGAGGGGACCAGCCCTGGCCTCTAGTGATTCTGTAAAGCTAGTATGTGAGGTTGCTACCCTCTTTGTTCTTTAGCAGGAACTGGGATCCAGTGATTAGGATCTTTGGCCCACGGGCACCATAGCCCAGAAAACAGAATGCCCCTCACAGCATCTAACACAAACCTGTAAGAAAGCATCGAAAGACAATACGCTTCTTAGTTCTAGGAATACATCCAATCAAACACGCATTAACTCCTTCCACTATAGACCAGACATTCTGTAATTTCATATAGTTGGCAGCCAATCAGCCACAACCTTCATTTCAAAGGAAGCTGTATGCTGTAGGGGAAGGAGTAAGTGTTGCTGATAAAACTCCACGTATGCCCCGAGTCTGACACTAAGGAGTGTCATAATAGCCAGTGATGGAGTTTCAGGTTTCCTTCGAGAGACAAGCAAAAATAAAGTCGGGGGTAATTTGAAATAGATGACACACATACATTCTGCTGCATCAGCTGAAAGTTGCCCCTGGCGAAATGGACTCTTCAGGACTCTTGATCTGTGTCCACTGACTTCTAAGAGCCACACAGCCGTAGACTCACCTCCCCCCGAATTATCTCAGGGATTATAAAACTAGAAGATGGGGAGGCAGAATCTTGAGACCAAAAATCGAATCATGATCTTAGTTCCAGAACAACTTTGAAAAGAAAAAAAAAAGGCCTCACTCTGAGATATCGGTGAGGTCCAATAAGCAATCCATGGCTCTGTTTCCACATTTTTAAAGGGGGAAAGAAAACTCTTCTACAGTCTATTTCTTACATTTGCTGTGAGGCTCAGTAAGTAAAAGAAGTGAAAGAGTTTTGCACTGTTTAAAAGCAAAACTCTTCATGCATGTAAGGCACTATTAGGATTGTTATGCCCATGGGGAGGCTCAATACAGAAGCTGGCCCTGCTTTAAAATCATGAGGATAAAAGATTGCTCACAACGCTTAGTTTTGGCTGTCAGCAATACTGTTCTGAACAAATTGGCTTTGAAATAATGACCCCTGAAAGACCCATTGTAGCCTGAATAAAGCCTAAGCTGACTTTTCGTTTGATAAGTGAGCAACCAAAGATCAGAGTCATCTACCTTCTTATGATTAAAGACTCCAATCTCAATCTTGCTTCTTGGCCTTAGTTGATTGACTCTTTTCCCCACATCGGCTCAGGGCTTTACGTCCTTCTTCAATCTGCACCCACTATCTGTTTTACTCTCCTCTCTGACATTGATCCTAAAAAACCCCACCCCACTGTGTGTTGGGAGGATGGTTATCTTACTTTACATGTGCAAAAAATTGCTCACGTTGTGTTTCTCCAAATAAAAAAGACAGATGCAGTAAGAAGTGTTTTTTTCAAAGCAAACTTGGTAAAATAAGTAAATACAATTCACAAGGTGTCAAAGCTTTCCTTCTGAGCAATTAACATTTGAGCACAGGGACCACCTTGGGAATCTGATAGAAGCCATGAGCCCTTCCACATAAAAATGTACATCTAAACAGACACACCACATTTTATTTATGATTGCAGGAGGCTCATGTACCCCTTGGAGCAATGATTAGGATCTTTGGCCCATGGGCACCATTTTGAAGATTAACCTTGTTACCCGTGCTATGTATGACTCTAAGAGTGGATACAGCCAGTTAATCATTCTAGTCTTCAGAAGAGAAAAAAAATTTTCTAGGACAGGAGAATTGTTTCAGCTTTGTTTGTTTGTTTGTTTGTTTGTTTGTTAACAGGAAGTGAGAATCTTACCTCTGGCAACATGATGAGGCTGAACGTCAGGATAAAGAGAACCATGTTTACTCCGTACATCCATCTCAAGAAGAGGAAGTATGAGGCCACAGAAGAGCCAAACTGACCTATCAAAATAATAATAATAATAATAGGTTGTGAGACAGGTCAGAATCAAAGCAAAACAAAAGCCACAGTCCTGGTGCCTTCCACAAGAAATCTGCCCATTGCAACACTTTGGCTCTTTTCACATGGAAAAGAGCTTTGCAGCGAGAATTGCTACCTGAAGAGCCCATTTCATGCCTGGAGTTAACACCTTTGTGTGAGCAAATACCTATAAGGTGGCTACCACAGGACCTACCCAGTAGTTATCCACCGTTATCATTATAATTACTGCCCTGTGCCTCCTTCCTCTCAGCCAACAACGCTCTTCTCAAAAATGTTTACCGCATCCTTTATGGACAGCTATCCTAACAGATCGCCTTGTGCTATCTGTCTGACTTAACTGGCATTTTTTAGTTACAGCATAGAAGCTGAAGTTCATTCCCTCGCTCTTCGCATATTTAAAGTTTCTGGGGCATTTGGGTGGCTCAGTCAGTTAAGCATAGGACTCTTGATTTAAGCTCAGGTTATGATCTCACAGATCCTGAGATGGAGCCCCACATCACGCTCTGTGCTCACCACATGGAGCTGGCTTGGGATTTTCTCTCTCTTCTCCCTCTCTCTATACCTTCCCTGCTCATGTGCTCTCTCTCTTTCTCAAAATAAATAAATAGTCTTAAAAAAATAAAGCAACTTCTGCCAGGAATTACGTCAGATGTGAAGCACAATGTCACAGATAGAGTCGCTGCCCTAATACAACTTACATTTTTGTGAGGTATGGAAACAACAAATATGCAGGAATTTGAAAACTAAATGAATAAAATATATGCATTTATCATAATATATATTCTATTATATACTCTATCATATGTGTGTATAGTATGCATAATATTACATATCATATATATGTATATTCATTACATGCATTGATTAATGTACATATATATGATATATCATATATGTGTGTATCATTTATATGATATGTATGTATTATATGTGATATATAAGATTACCTATGATCATATTATTGCAACAATTACGTAAGTGTAATTATTATAGTCAGATAGGTCCTAGAGAGAAGAGGGTAAAGTATCAAGAGGGTTGCTTTCAATCAGCTTGCATATCAAAGGAAGGTATATCAAAGAGGGTAGCGTTTTCAAGCAGAGGTCTGCAGTTGGAGGAAGAGGCACAATGACCAGGCTGGGGAGAAGCTGCTCAAGCAAAGGAAAGATCGAGAACAAACATCTGGAGACAGGCAATGCTTCAAGACAATTGAGGAACAAAGCCAAGGGCTGCGCAGTTGGAGCCCAATGAACAAGGGAGATTGGTGACAGATGAGGATGGAGAGACAGGCCAACCCACAACGTGTAGGCCTCTTAAGGCAAGGGAGAAAGAGTGGCTTTTGTTTCAAATGTGATGAGAAGTCGTCAACAGGTGTAAAGCGATTGGAGTCGGGTAGGGGAGGAGGGACTGTGACCTTCCAAAGTCTCCTCAGCCTTGGCAAATGAATTGGGAGGGGACAGGCAAGAATGTGCCATCGACTCATACACCACAGTGCATAGTGATCTATCCAACTTGTATTTGCTGAGAAAAAATAAAAACATTATCTTAAAAGAGAGAATGGAAGAGGAAGAGAGAACAGGAATTTGAGGTCTCAGGTTGAGATTTCATCAATTAACAAAAGCCAGACTTTTCTCTGATTATCACCTAAGGTTCAACATTAAGTTACTAGTTTCTTAGTCTTCCCAAGAGGAAACAATGCACACTAGCAGTCACCCACTGCATCAGGCCCGTTTTCCTGACTCATTCAGCAAAATACCTCCAGTGACCAATGCTTTTGCTGGTCCTCTCACTTTGCAACATTACTGGTGGGGAAACATTATTGCAGAAGGAAGGAGCCTCCTTGAAGCAAATTCCAGCCTCTGCTCAGTAAGATGAGGCTGCGATCACATGAGAGTATGCTGCTGTGTCTGGAACTAAGAAAAGTCTTTGGGTGCCACCTTACCTAGTCCCACACCACAGTGGCCATTTTTATAGAAACTTAAAAAAAAAAAGTCAATGTCTAAGTGGACATTTTAAAAAAAGCAATTATTTTGAACTCTGAATCTTTGCATTCACATCGCTTTGTAGAGAGATACAGAGTTCTACAGGACTACGTCCTTCTACGTCCAAAAGCACGTGGTTTTGATGAAGATGCCCGCAGGTGCTGTAACAAGATGCACTGGGCCCACCTGCAGGAAGGCGAAGCAGATCTGCCCCTCCCACGACATCTGATCATCCACCTGGGTCCCAGTGATTTCCTATCATTTCATGGCTGTTATCTATGTTCTCTGGTAACAAGTGCCCAAGGACCGCCTTAGCCAGGTCCCCCTATCATGTTTTATTGAAGGTAGTAGACTTCCAGCTTGTTAGTCAGTCTAGTTACTCATTAATTGGGGAAGAAACTTCAGTCTCTAGGTATCTGGAGTGAGCTTTTCCCAGAAACACACATGAGATCTTCTGATGTAGAATCCCAACCGCGGGAGGCTGACTCATCGGTTCCTGCTTCTCTCCTTCCCTCTCTGCCTCATGTGCTTCTTGGCTCCCTCCTTTCCCTCCTCCCTTCCTTCCCTTCTTCCTTCCCTACCTCCTTTCTTACAGTTTTGCTCTTCTCATTAGTGCTCACGGCTTACGGGCTCCCAGCCCCCATACACAACCCCTCGCAAATGAATTTCTTAAATTGAGTGCATATATATATACCTAAAGGCAAAAGAGAGGAGCAAATAAAGATGTTTCAGAAAGTATTCCCTCCCCCATATATAATCCATATTCATCATGGATGAAATCCACTTTAGACTCCAAAGCTTCCTAGCTCCATTTTTTTTTAATGTTTTATTTATTTCTAGGAGAGAGAGAGAGACAGCGTGAGGAGGGGAGGGTCAGAGAGAGAGGGAGTCACAGACTCCGAAACAGGCTCCAGGCTCTGAGCTGGCAGTCAGCACAGAGCCCGACGCGGGACTCAAACCCACGAACCGCGAGATCATGACCTAAGCGAAAGTCGGACGCTTAACCGACTAAGCCACCCAGGCGCCCCCCTAGCTCCATTTTTTTCTCAACTGGTTCAGACCAGGTAAAATAGATTTAGTAACTCAGTGTGGACAGTGCCCCATTCCTATGGTATGAAGTTACTCGCTTACACTAAGAGGGCCAAGGACAAGCCAACATGTTCAAAGTAGAGTTTACTATGAAAAAGCAACACCTTCAAAACCTCAGGATAATGCATTTAATAAATGAAGGCACAGTTTGGTGTACCTGCTTCACAGGATTATTGTGAAAGTCAAATTATAAAACAGATATGAAATCACTTAAGTGTGCAACACCAAGTATGAATCAAGAGTCTGCATTGACTAGACTGTAAATTCTCTTGGGGCAGGAGCTGTAGATAGTGCATTGTAGAACACCTTAGTGAATTTATCTTACAGTTTCTTTTTGATCAATTGTTGGTGGATACATCCCTATATAAATAGCTCTAAAAGTGCTCTTTCAATGAGCATAAAATAGAAATTCTTTATGATAACAAAAGTTAATGTCTTAAAAAAAAAAGTAGAAAAGTAACAATTAAGCCCCATTCCTTTTTATTTTTTTCTTAACAGAACCCTAAGTCTAAAGAAAACAAACTTCAGAAAAACAGATTTCATTAAAACTAGTGATTGTACAAAAGACCCGGACACAGGGGAGAGAGACCAAGGAATCTGGAAGACATAGTTCCTTCTACAGGACACCTACCAATGGCAGAGCGGACAGAAGAGTAACAAAACAAAGATTATAAAGGACAGAAAACAATTCGACTGGTTGGCATCCCAGCTCCAGAGGACCTTTCCCTGTCTCGACCCCCAAATGGAAAAGGACAAATCTTCCCTCTTCACATCCCTCTTTTATCCCAGGTGTCCTATCTGACCAGCAGTTGGTGACTAGATCTGGCATTTACTAAAAAGAGAAATCTTACTATCATGTAGCTAAAAGATCATAATTTCAAAGAACAGCCATTCCCATGTGCCTAGTCTCTTAGATAAAATTGTAAAGAACAAGAATGGGTGTGGTGGTGGTAGTAGTAGTAGTAGTAGCAGTAATGATAATAGTAGTAACAATAACAACAACAATAATAAAAATAACTCCCATTATCTTGCTGGTCAATTATGCATACTGAAAACTCTGCTGGCATCAACTCATTTTACTACTTCTAGAACCCGATAAGGTTAAGTGTTATTAGGCCCACTGTGTGGATGGGGAACCAAAAAATTAAACACAGCATTGGACTGAACCAAGACTTGATTAATAATAGTAACAGCTAATGTATAATGGATTCTTGTTTCTGACATTTATTTTGATCTTGTGTATTAATTCATTTAGTCATCATCAAATTCCTGCAAGAAGAGAACTACCATACTCTCACTTTCCAGAGACGTAAGCCCATGGGTTACACAGCTAGTAAATGAGGACACCAGGGTCATGGAATAGTTATGTAGGTAGTAAATTATGGAGCCAGAGCTCTAAACTAGGCAACCTTGATCTCTAGGTGTTGGACTCCAAATCCAGATCTCTCTTAACCACGGTGCTATATTGCTCCTTAAGTAGAATCACAATCAAATTATCTTTTTAAAACTATAATATATGGACTAAATATGCCATGAGCCTGTGTGTCTGAAAAAATATAGGCAATATCCATCAATCAGCTAAGGCCATGCACATTCATAAATTTGGATGGTGCCCAGAAAGGACCTATTCTTTTTTTTTCTTTAATCTGACTAACAAATTCAGTTTCCACAATGAATTATTAATGTATTAAAACAGAGTTCTTGGTATGTATTCAAGTGAGGCCTTTTAAGCTTATGCAATATTCTTGTTGCTGAATTTTCTTGCCTTTCTTTTAAATTAAGGTTAAAGTTTCACCTCTCCCTCTGGTTATTTATTATTAAGGCAAAGTAATTTGTAGTCTGTCATCATATATAATTTCCTCTTGAACAGATGGGTAATAAGACAGGCAGACAAATATGAGCATTTCTAAATGGGAAAAGACCAATTAAATCACCTGCTGTATGAGCACAATATAAATGCCATCTTGTTGGGCTAGGACAGAAAGCATAGTTTCTTTCAGATTGGTCTAGGGGAATTAAATGTGGCAAATTTGATTTGCATTATCTGGAGCCAGTAAGAGTCAAAAGGACCTCCACCTGTAGAAAAGGTTGACAATCATGTCCCATTTCTTTTCCAATTTCCATTTAGTTAAGTTTCAAAGACGATCACAGATGTGTACTTCTCTGTCTTTGGTAGGGTACTTTCTATGGGATGGCTAGTGTGAGCCGATGACTTTGCTAGTACAATCTTAGAGAGGTTCCATACTTTTCAACTAATACAATAGTCCCAGAGCCTGTGGTGTACTTAATTATCATTAAGATCATTATGCATTAAGCATCTTACAGGAGATGAAATATATAATTAAATAAAGAGCTCGTTCGAAAATAAATGCATGAGAAAATGGAAAATAATTTCCCGAGTAGCATAATGACAAACTGAATCCACCCTGGGACCTGATGCAAAAGAAAAGGTTTATAAAATGTTCCATAAAGCGATAAATGAGCAAGCCACGTTGAGAAAACCACAAGCTTTGGACCCAGACAGACTTCACCTTGCATCTCAGCCCCTCTAGTGACTAACTCTGGGACACTTATTTAACCGCAACTCAAATAGGAAGGCTAATGTGCACATTGCAGGCATGGGGAAGATTATATGAAACGTTTGTGGAGCATCTGAGTGACGATCGAAGGGTGACAGTTGTGGCGATTGTTGATAGACTAGAAAATAAGGTCAATTCTTCACTCCAGGGAGGTAATGCACCATGAACGGTGAAGAAATCAGGACAACCTAACCAAATCATAAACTGCATACGGAAGGGAAAGTAATGTGCTTGTCATCATCCGGCTGACTGTTCCAAATTTCCTGGAGGAAGGAGAGGAAGGAAAATAACTAAGAGTATAACTGAGTGGCCCTCGATCTGTTTTTCCCATGGTAACACACATGATAGATGTTGGTCATATGTGTAACTCATTCCTGTGTGAAAGTCTAGCAATAAAAATAATCCCATCTGTTTCTCACCCACTAAAGATAAGCTGCTGCAACACAAGCGAGCATGACATTATTACTGAGACAAGCTAGAGCCTGCTCTAGTGTATCTTCAAAATAAATAATGTGCAAATGTACATATTTTCATGACCATCCTTACAAATTTCTTGGGATACATCTCATGACTGGTCAAGATTCAATCCTATCGTCCCACAGATAAATGGACTGAGGTCCAGAGGGATTACATGACTGAGAAGAGCTGAACAGCTCATTTGTAGCAAAGCAAAAGCAGAATCCAGAGTTCTTTCCACACAAATTGTGTCAAGATCTTAATGTTCCAAATGGCTTTCTGTTCCTACTGCCTCTCAAGGTACCACATTTCAGTGGCACACTCGAAACCTAAGGATTCCATGTTGTCGGTCCTTTTCTGGTGTGTCTAAATTCCTTTTTCCATTTCCTAGAATGGCAGACATGTGAAGAATGTCTACTCTTTATTTTATTCAACACGTATTTATTAAGGTCGAATTCTAGGTCTGGCAATCCTGGAGTAAAACAAAACCAAACCTTTCATGTCTATTGGAAGAAATAAACACAAAATAAAATAAAATGAAATTACATTTGAAAATTAAATTTAAAACACAGTATTTTAGATAGTAAGTGTTAAGAAAGAAAATAAAGCAATGACGGGATTGTACAAGATTATGTGGGAGGAAGTGCAATTAATTAGCTGATGTGTTTTTAATTCATTGCCACTTGATAATGAAAGACAGTGGACTGAGGATAGGCACTCTTAAAACATGCCCAATCATGTCCATGAAATATCCATCAACTGTGCTATCTCCCCGTGGAGCCTCCGTTTTAATTATGCAAAGCCACATTTAACCAGCAGGAAAATCTGCCTCTCAATCTGAAAACTCAGGGAGGAAATTCAGATTCTAGTCAAAACTCTTAGAACCAAAATATGGCAGGATTATGCTCAGAATTCTTTTATATATTATCTTTTGTCTTTATATTCTCTACTATATTCTTTATTATTTAAAAACATTATTACATTTACTATATTTAAAATTTTTTATTTGCTTTATTCTAAGCCTAGAGCACTGTTCTAAATAGGCTTGTGATCGAGTACATTCTCCTGACGTCTCTCTACCCGGTGAGTACTGTGTAAAATGAAGGCACAATAGGATATTCACATAACAAGTTCCTAGATGGTGATGTGATTATTCTCCTTCAGATTTGAAAATGAAGCTTTAAGATTTCTTCATTCTTTGTAGACATTGTTCATTTTGATTATTGTCTAATCTAACAAAAGTATATATTTTCAATGTCATGTTCATTGCCAAAATAAAATCACCGCCTTCCCAATGATATACATGACTCAGTGTCATCGTGCACAATATTGACTTCCCTGTATAGACGAGAACACAAGGTCAGTATGAGAATATTTTGGTTTACTGTAGGAAGGGAGAGTGGGGTCTCCAGGACTATGCCTGGTAAGTACTAGCAAATTTTCACAGTAAACAAAAAGAATGTAAAAAATGGTTATTTCTGTTTGTTTGTTGCCTTGTTTTTAATCATTCCAATAGTACAGAAACTGAGAAAGACATCTGATAAGGTTATGAAACAAGCATCCCATCTAATGAGACCTCATGAGCACTTACTTTCAATCGCTTTGATTTTATTTTCCCATGGGATGCAAGCGGCTTTGAAGTTTTCAAAATCCCGAAGAAATTTTGCCCATTTCTGAAAAGAAAGCCAAACACAACAGTAAAACGCAGACTCTTGTTGGTCAAGATGTTTTATCCTCCACCCCCGTCCCCAGATATCACACAACAAGGAATTTGGAAAGATCTCTTTGGTGCCACTTCTGGCTTTTTGTAAAAAGAAAAAAACAGTAGGATTCACTTGCTTCTCTGTTCCCCACCCATCCTCACACCAATTCAACAAAAAAAACTTTTATGGGTCCCCTGTTTTATAGAAAATAGATCTGTTTGTTCTGTCGGACAATAAGGAGCAGGGACTGAGTTAGCACCTACTAAGTTGATCGGCAAGTGGTATGTGTTTAATTAAATACTCATTGCATGAAGAAAATGATGCACTATGAATAAGACATTGTTCCTGCGTTGAAGGGCTTCTGGGACTGTGAGAGTAAGCTGTGGCTAAACAAGTAATTTCAATATAGGAAGGGAACTGTTATGAGGTGGGACACTTTTTATTCTGGTGGATGTAGAGTGGCTAAGTAAAGGGAAAGGCATGGCATCGTAGAAGACGGAGGAAGAAAAAAATCATACATTAGGTTTTTTTAATGTTTATTTATTTATTTTGAGAAAGAGAGAGTGCAGGGGAGGGCCAGAGAGAGAGGAAGAGAGAGAATCCCAAACGGCCTCCACACTGTCATTGTAGAACCTGACTGGGGCTGGATTCCACGAACTGTGAGATCATGACCTGAGCCGAAATCAAGAGTCAGGTGCTTAATCGACTGAGCCACCCAGGCGCCCCCATACATTCCTTTTTGTAAAAGACCTTCCTTCCATTTTACTCCACAATGCCGGACCATCCATGGTCAAGAGGACCACAGGAAGAATGGGAACAGAGAAGATAACTTTGCACAGGTGCACATAATGCAGAGATAATGTGTGAGCCGGACAGGCGCAATGGAGCCGAAAGAACAGTAGGAGATAAGTCTGAAGTTCAGAAGATCATTCAACCAAGAAGCAATTCAAATATCCCTCTATTATAGGATGGATAAATAAATACCAGTACCTTCATCCAATGGAATACAGCATATCAATAAAATGAACTACTAAACGTGGATGTATCTCATGAATAGAATATTGCATCAAAGAAGCCAGAAACAGAAGGATAAATACTATATGATTCCATTCACTTAAATTATAAAAACAGAATTATGACTCCCTGATATACATCACAAATCTGTAATTCATATTTAAGATGTGGATTTTATTCACAAAACCACATCTTTATGGAAATAGCATTTAACTTACAAGTGGTATAACAACTGTAAAGAGGAGATAATACCTACATACCTACTTTGCTTTGAGAATTAAATAGGGTTAACTTCATAGAAAGATTCGATTCAGTGCTTAGGATAAGTAAATACTAAATAAGTGTTAGTTTCTTTTCTACCCTTTCCAAGAATCTACGTTTATACTGGTATATCATTTGGGTTTTGTTTTTTTTTTTTTTTTTTTCATTTTCTATTCAATTCATAGTTAATGTTCTGGTAGAGCTGTATGGCCCTGAAACTTAAAGATATGTTGAGCAACAAACTTTGACCCAAAACCCCTTAACTTCCAGGGTATAAAAATGAAAGGGGCCCATTCTTTGCCATTTCGGAATGATAAAATCACACAGGTCTTTTTGTCCTAAATCACTGTTTCTGGCTGCCATTGGGAATATACAACATCAACCAAACTGAGTCATGAAAAGGCTTACCTTAGCCATCATCATCTTAAATGCAAACCACCGCTTTCCTTTTCCTTTCCCAAGGGCTCCTTCATTTTCACTCACAAATTTTTTTGCTTCCCTGAGAAAATAAAACAAAATAAAGGGTAAGGGGGGTGGGGTGCAGATTGAGATGCATAGAATAGAGGTAGTGGGCATTTCATTTTATTAGGTTTGTAGCCTTAGTTCTTCTAGATCCTTAGCACATGAATTTAAGCTCTATTTCAAGCTCGGGACTTGTAATAGATGTTTAAGCTTTTTAGTTCCGGCCAGGAAGAGTAAGGTATTTTAGTCTCACTTATTAATCAGCTGGAGTCATCAAAAAGCAAGGAATGCATGCTACATGTCAAAATAGAGAATTCTAGTTCTTTTCATTTCCATCACATATAAAATTGAATCCAAAGTGGACTTCAGATTTTGGCAGTCAGAATGTTTATTTTAAAATATTTCCTTTTCTTCTTTTTTAAAGGTTCCTTTTGTAAAATAGAGCAAAGAGTTTAGGACACACTGACCTGGAGCACATTTACTGACCTGGTATTTAATCTCATAAAACCAATTATGACTTGAAACAAAAATCATATTATGTACAGCAAATTGGAGTGAGGGAAGAAAGGAAAGGAAAGGAATACTTTTGGCCTCACATTTGGAAAGGGCTCAACCATAAACTTTAACATTATTCCCAAATAGTTATACCTTTCCAGTCACATTAGCATCTTTGTGTGTGTGTGTGTGTGTGTGTGTGTGTGTGTGTGTGTATAGAAAAGCATCAAGTTGGGGTGCCTGGGTGGCTCAGTTGGTTAGGCATCCGACTTCGGCTCAGGTCATGATCTCATGGTTCGTGGGTTTGAGCCCCGTGTCGGGCTCTGAGCTGACAGCTAGCTCAGAGCCTGGAGCCTGTTTCAGATTCTGTGTCTCCCTCTCTCTTTGACCATCCCTTGCTCACACTGTCTCTCTCTTTCAGAAATAAATAAAACATTAAAAATTTTAAAAGAAAGAGAAGAAAAGAAAAGCATCAAGTTATTGTAATGGAGAATGTTAAATATACTACAGTTTTGTAAACTTGGTTGGCCAATTTTGCTATTGCTGTTTGTTTTATATATTAAAAAAATCTTTTAAAAATACAGGTGGCCCAGGTTTGTCTTAACCTTTTGGGGGCCGCAGAGGGCATAGCCCAGGAGAACCCAAACCTGAACTGTTATTTGACAGCTGCAACATTGTTCTTCAGTTGGAAAGCTGCTGGAATGTGTGATTTGACAGGATAAGACCTTTCAACATATGATAAATAAGCTTATTAACACACAAAGCAAATTTTTTTAAGAAGGTGAGATTGTAAATGGGACAGTGTTGGAGGAATTATAACAGTCGATTCTCCTATTTTTTTTTTAAATTTTCTTTTAATGTTTATTTATTTTTGAGAGAAAGCAGGGGAGGGTCAGAGAGAGAGGGAGACACAGAATCTGAAACAGGCTCCAGGCTCTGAGCTGTCAGCACAGAACCCAAAGCAAGTCTCGAACCCATGAACCGTGAGATCACAACCGGCACCGAAGTTGGAGGCTTAACTGACTGAGACACCTGGCCGCCCCTTATTCTCCCGTTAATACCTGTTTCAAAACTGAAAATTTGCTCTAACATGATCAATACGTTACAGAAGAATTGAAGCAGAGCACAACTTTTGGGTTTGCTTATGTGTGACTTCATCTTCTAGAAGCCCGAGGGAAATGCAGAAAACCTGCATCCAGCTCAACTTAGCAGCGTGTTCACAAAATGTGCCCACCTTACCCAGCTACCGCACTGCACTCCCTGCATTAGAAAAGCCACAGCCAGAGGCGCCTGGGTGGCTTAGTCGGTTAAGCGTCCGACTTTCGCTTAGGTCATGATCTCGCGGTTTATGGGTTCGAGCCCCGCGTCGGGCTCTGTGCTGACTGCCAGCTCAAGCCTGGAGCCTGTTTCACTCTGTGACTCCCTCTCTCTCTGACCCAACCCTACTCACGCTGTCTATCCCTCTCTCCTAGAAATAAATAAAACATTAATTTAAAAAAAAAAAAAGAAAGAAAAGCCACAGCCATTCACTGCTGATCTTGAAGGACTTCCAAGCATCGCATCAAAACTATTGAAGGCCACTTCCACGAGCAAGCTGCAGGTCTTTTTCTAAGGAAACTACCATAATTTATTGTAGCATTTCTGTATTTCTTAACCACTTTGCATGTACAAAATGTTGCTGCCATTTTATACCTACCTTTTTTATGTGTCACTGACGATATTCCAGAGTACTGTTCCCTTATTCCCAGTTTTCTTAGAAGCCCTGCGGTTTTCATTGTTCTATTTTGCATAGTGATGGATTTTAGGAACCCATACATTGTGTGATAGCCAAACTGACTACAATTCAAAGATTTGGTATCAGGAACTTTGAAATTTGTAAAATCCAGTCTATGCAGGAAGCATTACATCACTCGATTTTAATAAACACATATAGGGAATCACAAATTCTTCCTGGTGGTAAAATCAGTTTTTTTTTTCCAAACGTAAAGCACCTACTTTATGGGCATTTTTGCCGCTCTAGATACTTAGCAGTTAATTTCAAAGAGGCTCAGTTTGGTCTATAGAGCTACATCACTTTCTAGATGAGTGGCCAATTAGAAAACATGGCTGCTCTAAACAGCCATTATTCTACTTCATATTTCGACAAGATTTTTAATTTTGTGAACTGATGATTATGTGATAGGATCATTAAACTAGCAAGATATAAGTGAGAGAGAGAGAGAGGGAAGTCAGGATTATAAACAAATTAAAATCACACAAAATTAATCATAAATTCATCTAATAATGTAGAAACATATTTCCATGGCATTCGTAGGATTTTTGTCAGTTATTATAAACATAAGTTTCCTCAGAGCAATAGAAACAAGGTTTTATCATTTGCCTCTTCCTTGCCAAGTTTTTCCTGATGCTAGGCACCGTTTCATACCTCCTTCCAAAATACCACCCTCCCCCCACCCTCAAACTACATATTCTTTTTTTTTTTTACTTTGTTTTTGAGAGAGAGAGAGCATAAACGAGAGAGGGGCAGAGAGGGAGACACAGAATCCAAAGCAGACCTTGTGCTCTGAGCTGTCAGCACAGAGCTTGACATGGGGCTCAAACTCACAGAGTGCAAGATCATGACCTGAGCCGAAATCACATGTTCGACCGACTGAGCCACCCAGGCGCTCCTCAACATACTTATTCTGACATTGGTTTTTCAGATACCAGCCTAGACCACACTCAACTCGACATAATCTCAGGTATAAATTTCTTCTCTTCCCTAGTGCTTTATCCCTCCTCCATTCTCCAAAAGGCTTCTCCCAAGTTTCATACGAGAAGGACCCCTGAAGAACCATTCTAGCTCCTTCTGCTCCCCACTGTCCACGCTTGCCAAAATTAATACTAGACTCAACTCATCAGAAGTCTTGTGCGGGTGGGGCAGGGGCGGGGGTGGATTATACTGAGACAAAGCCAGGGGCCATGCGGTGGCCAGAGAATAATTTCTTAGCAAGAACAGATTCTTGAGATTCCCAATCGGACGTTCTTGGGATATAAGGAAGCACTCTTGCAGCTTGCTGGTCTAGAACGAGGGACATCGGATGGAAAGAGGTTGGTGACCCTGCAGAGAACATCCTTTCACATTATTTTCAAGGCTAACCTTTGCGGTGAACTGCATGACTTCGGGATGAAAAACAAAGAAACAAAGAAAACTAGCACCTCCCAAGCCCATTCTCTCCAATAACAAATTTCTTGACCAGAAGAAGGCATCTCACTGTGCTATTAGAAACAAAATACAAAAAGAAAATATCCAATATGGAGAGGAGCACTGACTGATACTTACCACACTTAAGTGCCCTTTAACAGATACCAGAATCCAAGCAAATAAAGAGCAGAGCCGTTGAAAACTAAAAAGCAAGACAACTTCTTTATGTTTTTCTGAGAGTTAATCCATCTTCCTACCCATTTGCATTTATCTGGATAAGTTAAAGGGATTTTTTTGACATGGATAAAATGAATAAAATGTTGTGGATATACTTTGAATATCCGTTGGCTTCGAACCATCCAAATATCTGACTGAAAAATGTGCATCATTCCCTTGAACTGCATTCAACAAAAGCTGCCTGCCAAGGTTGTAATCCGGTCCCCAGGTCTCGAAGCTCAAGCCGGCCCTGGTATAGTGTGCACAGCTCCGTGAGCTGTAACCCCAGACGCTGGGATAAATAATTAAGTGAGATCTATTTAATGACAATAATACCTGGCCTCATAATTCATTTATCAACCCCTTGTGTTGGTAATTAGAATAATAAGGTTTCATGGGCTTTCAAGAAGGCTTTCACAGTTAGTTGGAGGAGCACACTGTGGCCTAACTTACAAAATAGATAATTTACCCATAACACATGATACAACCCTGATCACACAGGGGAATTAGGACCTGCTAGGTTGCCTTTGACACATTCTCATCCCAGGAAAAACGTTCCCTTGTTTGGGTTAGGTTAGGTTGACTTTTCTTCCTTCTTGTTTGCAGCTTGATAGTATGATTGAGCAACCAACTTCTTGCTCAAGTAAATGAAAGACATTTCAAAACTAGTCTTTAAGGCAACTGTAACCAACGCCGGGACTCTGAGCACTTCCCAGTAAAGGGATCTGAAGAAAGAGAAGCCTTTTCTTAGGAGACACTGTTGTTTAAAAAAAAAAAAAAAGACCAATTTAAATGGACTCAAAGTCAGAGCTCTGACTTTTCCTAAAATAGTACTGAGTAAATTGAAAGAAAGTAGCAGAGGTGGGAAGCTATTCTAATGCACAGAGATTGGAAAGAAGGAAAGAAGGAAGTAAGGACTGGATAATGTTAACTCTATAATTAGATTGGCGGCATTATTTAAAATCATCCTAATACTGGAAGCGATGATTCAAAACACCTGTTTGTTTTTTATTATAAAAGAGATGCTGGTGAAAATGGTTGTAATGGTTTGATGTTCAGTTGTTACATGGATGAAGCAGAGATGATAGTAGCTCTGTGATGGGGTGTCCTGTGTTTTATAGGAAATAATGCATACAGTACGG